AATTTATTACAAAGAGTTCTGAGCAATTTTTCAGTTGCCATCTTTAAATATTTATTAGAACTTCATTTGCATTGCTGCTGTGCAACATGTGCATGCAATATGAGAACAGAAAAGCAAAGTTTCGTTAGAGAATAAATTAAATATATTGTCAAAATATTTTGTTTTTTATCTGGTTTAAAGAAAAATGTGTTTTATATGATTTATGTTATTTTCTTTCACTAGAACACACTGTGTGAACTCATGCGGTCTTCTTTTAAAAAAGATGCAAGTTTAAGCCACATGAACCCATTCACAAAGCAGTTGTACTCTATGCTCTTAGGTCTTTTTATCTGTATACACACACTTATACACCGATGACCCAGGGGCTGTTTGTGGGTGTTTTAGCTACTAACCACAACTTGTTAATGATTGCACTGAAAAATAAATCATGATAATCATCTCCCAGTGCTCTGCCCTGACCTTATTGTGTGCAAGTGTTGCTGTTGTGATATATTTGAAAAATGTGGATAAGAGTATATTTACATCAAAAATCCAATGTCATTAGGCTGTTGATTTTTTTTCTGATTCACTGCTTTAGTCATTCTCTGTTGACATTAGCTTCCTTTCACAGATCTGTCATAACACAGACACATGGAGCTGTTTCCTCTGAATACATAGTTTATTTAAAACATTGTATAGTATAGTATAAAAAAGAATGTAATAAATAGAAAAAAAGGACAGCAAATGAACAGTGTAGCTGTTAAGGACAACAGTAAATGATGGGATCAAAGTCAACAATGAACTAGTCTTTTATATACTGTGTCGCCTGCACACTGCTATATCTTGATACAGTCAGACGATTTAACATACGACAAGATCGCCGGAGAAGCTGATTGAACTGAGTAGAAATATCTGTGATATGGAGGTAAACCAGGGGGTTCAAAACACTATTCAGACACACAAGACCACGACTTATCTGATGAGCACTGAAGACTCCATTATTCCATGTAGGGCATATCTCCTTTTTTAATAATCCTCTTGCATAAAGGTTGAGGTTCCTAAAAATATGATATGGGATGTAACAAACTGAGAAGAGAAGAATCAAAATAAATAACAACTTTAAGCTTCTTTGTTTTACTTCCTTGTCAATGGTATTACTTTGGCAGAGAACCAAAATCACATGTCCATAGCAGCCAAGTAGGATAAGGAACGGGATGCAAAACCCAGTGAGTGTCTGTCCAAGACTGTATATCAGGTAATCCTCGACATACTCTGTAGAAGTGGTATGGTAGCATTTTGTGGTTTCATTTGTTTTGGAGGTGTTGTTTGTGGATGTTTTGAGGTAGAGCATGTCTGGAAGACTTTGAACACTCACCAACAGCCAAACCACAACTGAGATAGCCACAGTGTTACGGACAGTCATCCTTCCCATCGACTTCAGTGGATGGACAATAGCCAGGTACCTGTCCACACTTATACAGGTGAGGAATCCAATGCTGCCGTATAAATTCAAGTTGAAGCAGAATCTTGTGATCTTGCAGAAGGCATCTCCAAATATCCATTTACTGTTCATAAAATAGTATGCTGACAAAAATGGTAGTGTTGGAAGGAACAAAAAATTGGCAAGTCCAATGTTTAAAAGAAACACATTGTTTCCAACTTTCTTCTGTTTCTGCAGGATCGACTTCATCCCCCATCCATTAGCTCCCAGACCAATAATCAATACCATGGTGTAAATGGACGGTAGAATTTTGCATTCAAAGTCATATTCAACAGAAGTACAATTATCAGGCATTGTGTGTCTGTACAACCTCACTCCTCTGTGGCAGAATTACAAATGAGGCAAGTGAAAGAAAACAAGTTCATAGAGTGATCGGTCATGTCCCTGCTTGTAAACCAGCACCGAGAAGCTGGAAAGAGATTCCTAATAATTGTGCAACACCTTGTGTATACATGTTGGTGAAACTGTGTCTGTTTGCTTGCTAGCGCACAAATACTGTTTACCTTTCTATCACTTGAAATGCACCACACAAAAGCATGTTTGTTATTGTATTGTTATTATTTGTGTCATTCAAAACATAGATATTTTTTTAACTAAAACTTTCAGAAAAGATCGCATTTTCAAGTCCTTGAATGTTCACATAACTTGGATTGCAAGGTTATATTTATTGCATGTAACACCCTGTGTGAAAGTGAGTTTAGCATATGAAATGCAGATGCATAACATCTGCATTTATCAGTAAACACTTTGTTTGACAGCAAAGCTTTGTGATCTAAACAGATGAGCATCTAATAACCTCCGTTTGTGGTTGTTTTGCACACGATGGTAGCTGTATTTTAAACCATTTATGACCTAAAACATCATTTTACATAAGTAAGTATGTCATTGCCTGGGAGTCTTGATGGGTTATTTGTGATTTCTGATTGTTATTGAAAGTTTTTAGTTTGCTTTTAATTATTATTCCACAGCTTTAGTTTTAATTACTATTGTAAATGGCCTATAAATGGCCTGTATTTGTATATTCGATCGTCTACTTTGAATTCATTCATGTTTTTGTTTTCATGGAGTCTCCATAGTTTTTCTTGTCACTTGGTTTAGCTGTTGTCTCTGTGTTATTCCCCTGTTGTGTTATTTCCTGTTATTTTTGTAGTCATTTATGTCTTGTGGGGGATTTTGTTGTTGTTATAGTGGTGTTTTTTGTTTATGTTGGTTTTTTTTATGTACTTGTTGTGGAAGTTTTCCACTTAAATTAAGCCTGCAGACGAGTGGTGAGCGGTAGCTAACATTCTTTAATCCAAGCACACAAAGACAACATACAAACAAGCTTGTGGAGCCCCCATGGCTGCGGGACAGACGGTCAGCAGAGTTCTCTCTGAACCTAGCATGGCTCTCAGTTAAATACCTTCTCCAGGAACAAAAGGCAGTA